GAGGAGGGGGACGGGAGCGGGCGACGGCGGCTCATGGATAGTGTGCGCTGGCACCAACGGTGAGCGATGGCTGCTTGGCTCCGGGGAGGCAGACGACGGCTCAATTCGAGGAGGAGATGACGAGGTTTCCGATTATTCTGGGCTCTCTCCTTGAGTTGATTTTTGCATCTGTTTTTGATTTCTCATCTGCGATACCTCCATGTCTCTTTCTATGATTGGTTTCTCTCTTGACCTGCAGTGTAAAGAAGGCAATCGGAAACATCTAGTCCGCGGCCATGAAAGACTGTTTGTGGTATTTCAAAGGTACCGGTGTTTTTCATCTCTCATGTGTCCTTTGATTTGTTATGCTCTCAAGGATGTATTGACAGTTTATGCTGCTACTTGTTATGTGATTGCTAGCAACTCACACGAAAAGTATTTTGTCCTGATAGCCGAATGACTAATTTTGTTGTTTTGGGGAGATGGAATTGGTTTCTTGAATTGATTTTTCAATATACTTAATTACTTTACCTAAATCAGCTGGGAAAATGGCTGTTCAGGAATCACCAAACAATACGCTGAAATTACTCTGTGTGTGTAATGTGTTTAAGATGACATCATTGCAGGTTACACACGGCTTAGGTCACCATGTGGTAGCCATTAGGTGTCACCAGCCAGGAACTAAAGCGCGCATTCAATCTTCAATGCTCCATGCCTCAGTCTTCTGTGCGAGTTCTTGGACTTGTGGCGGTCAGTCCTAAGGGATGCCACTATGAAAGATGGGACCAGTTCACCACTAAGGTGTGTGCCTCGAGAACGGTGAGAATGCCCCCGGAACCAGTTGGCCACTAAGGTGGGTGCCTCGGGAATGGCGGGAATGCCCCTGGAACCAGTTCGCCACTAAGGTGTGTGCCTCCTCCCTTCTCGTGTTCTCCTGTTCCAACATTTCTGTTTGGACTTTGAAGTTGTTGTGCTTCAGCAAGGAGTATGAACTGGTCCGGCCACTTATCTGGTCTGATTATTCAGGGGTTTGTTGCCGTTGAGCAATTCACTTCCCCTGCCCATAAATGGAATCAGACGTAGAAATTAGAAATTACAGTGGGTTGAAATTTTTCACATCACATAACCAAGTAAAATTCAGTAGATGGAGAGACAAGAAATGGCACATGTAGGTTTGGTTGCATAACTGTAATCAAGAATAACATAACGTATTTTACTTGCCTGTTCTTCGTCATCCATAAGCTCTTAAAGGGAACATTATTGTATCTTCTCTTCTTATATGAGCATGAATAGTATCTATACTTCAGAAATAAAGTGATTCAGGAGAAAATATATGATAGTGACATGGCATAAGAAACTTTTAAAGCACATTTGGGTGGGCTTAGTATATGAGTCCCGGTTTCTGAAAAATCTTAAGAGTACTCGATTTCCGCAAACTGAGTTTTTGTAACAGTAGTCATGTTTCACCGAAAGATTTTACGGAAGTTGGAATGTTCAAATATGCCAATTGCTTAATGGAATGCCCACTATATATGTTTAGAAATATAATAGTTACATAGGTTTTACTCTACTGGTTTGGTTTGGCTCTGCTTCTCCTGTTTGCAAAGAGGACTTCCTTCTCGGTGGTATCTTCCAATTCTTATATAATGATGGTTGTTGTTTGCCCTTGATGATGTTCTCTCTTGGTTTAATTCTGCCAATAGCCTTGCTAGCTCTAAGGACGAACATAATGTCTAATGACGTTGACATTCTTGAAAGTGAAAAACATGTCATGTTCTTCTATTCCCAAGGGGCATTACCATTGATAAAGTATGAAACCTTCGTCCATTTTAGGGGAGAGCACTTCAAAAGAAGATTGTAATGGAGGTGTAATGTCCTTCCAAGCTATTTTGCTCATGCTGTTTGTGACTAAATTCATGAAGTCCACTTCCCTGCTTCTCTATTGTTCTCTTTGATACTTTATAATCACATAAAAGAACATTGATTGTTACTGGGATGTTAGCATTGGTTTACATAGCGTTCAATTGGTTCATCATACATTCATGGTACAATGTAAAACAATGCGGTGGCGGCAGCTGCCTACAGCAGTTGAGCGTTCAGCTCCGTGCGTGAAGGCGCAACCGTCGGCCGGCACATGGCCTGATAGCTTGGGGGCGACGATTCCTCCACGGCTCCCCATGTCACGTCAACGGTGACCCTGGACCAGCGGTGCCGCGCGGCTCCCTGCATCTGCGTTGGATCTTCAAGCTTTCATCTCCGCGGAACTTCAACCAGCCATATGA